TTCTGCAATATGAAATCTTCAGCAAAAACAGGCCTGCATACTCTCAGTACAACTCTAGGGGACAAAGAAGTCTTGCCATAAAACAACATCTTGATGCATCCTTCCTCTGCTTTTCCTTCTCTTCTCCTCCCCACCCTGCACAAAGGAAGAAGCTACAGCCATTTGTGTCTGTAGCTCTTTCAGGGCTCCCAGCAGTGCATTTTCTGCACCAGTGCACATCATGTTTCCCATAGCTATGCCATTGGCCCTCCTGTGACAGACCAGCACAATGGTCAAGCTAGTACATGCAAAGTACCTGGGATGAAATCCTACACTGGGAAATTCAACAGAAGATGCTACATCAACTCCTGTAGCAATTCAGTCTGTCTCAGCTTTTGCATCCTTACTAACCTAGTTCCACACATATTATTTGCATATGATAGCTTACTTTGGTGTCTCTGAAGTAAGACCTCTTCCTTCCCCTTATGGTGGGAAGTGACACTATGAAAACATAACTTTCTGTTGAAAAGAACTGTACTTTCCAAAGATTTTACAGATGACATTCAAGAGTCCTCTTTAATGTTGAAAAGTGGCCTCCCAAGACCCAAGAACAGTGCAAACCACACATTGCGCAGCGACTCTTGTCTTTACCATATATGTTACTCTGTTTTCCTCCATCGCCCCAAACAAATCTCACAGCTATGACTTTTGCTGCTACCTGTTTCCCACTTCTGGCATGTACAGTGTCTAATTGGTTTGTAGGCTTGAATAATTTACACATCTGCACAGCCAGGATCTGAGCACAAAGTGTTTATGTGAGGTCGCAGGCAGGAAAGATGAGAGACAGCCTCTTTGATCCAACCACCTTTGTGTCGAGTGACTCATTACCATGACTCTTTCGCTCTTGTTTTCTGTCTTAAATTGTGTGCAAGGTTCTAAGCAGTGACAATCCTTCCAGAGTAAGGAGTAAGGAGCTCAAAGACATCAAAACTGTGTAAATATCTGTGTAGACATCATCAATATTTAGCAACCAAAAAAGTCAAAACAAGTAGGTATTAAAAAAGCTACTCTTACTACAATGAAGCAACAAAGGAAGCAAATCTTTTCTGGTGCTACCATTAGCTCTCCTGAACTTGCTCTGACACAGCACTGCAGAACTGCAGATGGCAACATAAAGCTGTCACACACTTGTTTTTCAAAAAGGCCGAAAAGCTAAGAGCAAAAGCAGGGCAAGAGCCAGACACCCCAGTTTTCAAGCTGGCATCCTACAGCATGACCTTGTGCTGACTTGGCCCTGTCTCCCCCCAGTATATGAAGGAATATGTACAATGCCTTTCTGCAAAAAAAAAAAAAAAAAAAAAAAAGGTGCAATAATCACTTAGAAAACCCCATATGTAAAATTCTCTTTCCCTTGCCCACTCCCTGGTGTTGAACCCAAGGTTGCAGGCCCAAATGCACAAATGCACCCACCTGTTCCCATGATCTGGTCCATCTGGTTGAGTTGGAGGCTGTTGGGCTGTGAGAAGGACAAGGTGACTGCTGCCATCCTGGCAGCACAGCGCTTGCAGCTCAACAGGCACAACCCTATGGTTCCTATAGGGCTGGGCTGTGCTCGCTGGCTGCTCACAGGGAATGGGGTGGAGGATGCAGCAGGGCCTACACCTCCTCACCTGCTCCAGCCAGACTTTCAGCGTTTCCCTGCCTGTGTTTTCCTTACTGACCTCCTGGTCATGCCCCGGGCACTCATCTCTGTTGTCCCACTGCTGCTGCACATAATACTAGTGAAGCACGCTCCTTGGCTTTGGGAAATACACCTGCACATTCCCCAGCAGAAGGACTTGGCTGTGACCCATTACTCACAGGGAGAGCTGTCGCTTAAGTCAATTAATGGAGAAAAATCATGGGGAGCGGTGTCTGGAGAGGATCACAAATTCAGTTTCCTTGGGGCTCTGTTGAAGTAAGATCGCTGCCTTGGACGTATCAGTACACTAGTAGCTTAGCTTGACCCTCACAGTGGGGTAATGCTTCTCCAAAAAGTGGCAAAATCTCCAGATACTGTATTTGCTCACCCCAGCATTGTGCTCCTTGGTGTGTCTGCTGCCCGTGTTTGTAATTAAAGCACGGGTGTTATTATGGAGAGACATCCGTCTATGAAAAAGCATTTTTAAAAAGAGACAATAAAGAATATGCAGTCAAATAATTATGTTTATCCATGAGCAAAGTCCTTGGGATTAAAATGAGGTGCAGGTCCTGATCCTTCATCAAGCCAAACATCTGTCCAATGTACACAGGGAAGACTCCAAGGGAGGTGTGATCTTGCTGACAACATACCTTTAAATGTTGGGCTGCACTCTGCTCCTACAAGTACTGAGCACAACTATTACTGTGGAAATCCCCGAGGATACTGACATCCTTCCTATGCTACAGCGCTTCTTTGGCCACTGTATGACTAGTCAAGTACTCCAGCACAAAGGAAACCGATACCAGTGCACTGCCTCATCTTCTCTGGCTTTGGGCATACAGAGTATAAGAACCTCTTTCACTGACTGTGGTGTAGTGTTTGCTTCACCAACTCTTTCCTCTCCTTTTGCGAAAGAGGTTAAGCAGTTTACAGTCTCAGACATCAGCAATGCATAACCACACCATCACCTATTGTTCGGTCACTTTTCTAGGAAAACCTCACTGAAATGAGTTGATTTAAACTCCTTTGGAAAACTGCAAAATACACTAGAAATTTAATTCAAATTCACACTTAATGAAAAAAAAAATGAATCATTGCAGAGGTAGAAAGCAAAATTAGAGAGAAGTTCATAATATATTCAATGGAGTCATATGAATGGCATGGGTCTTGTACACATTTAAATACATTTTTTAGAATGACAGATATTGAACATTACATCTATACACAGAAAAATGCAGATTTGATGAGGTAGAATAATGTGGGTGTAAGGGAGCAGGAAGCTCATTATGGAGTAATAAAAATGATGTGCAAAATGATTTTTTATAGCACTGCTGTTGGATGCTTTGATATATACCACGTGGTCTGTGACCTGTAAAACAGCTTTAGCCAGCACCACTCAGTGTGGCCAAGTGTTTGAGCAGCTTCTGGATTTTTACTGGCCTTGTCTTAACTTAAATAAATTGGTTGGACAGAGCAAAGTAAATTCAACAATAGTGAAAATATATCATATTACCAAAGTGGAACACTGACACTGAATTTCAATTACACCCAAAATGTCTCATCAAGTAACAGGCAATTCATCATAACAATGTTCCCTCAATTGAAAATGTTAGTAATTAGGCAAAGGCTGTTACAATTCCGTAGAAGAAAAGGTATTGATTTTATACACACCACCTCTGCTTATGCTAACAATAATGCCAGTAACTCTATTTAGTACTGCTTCTGACGTGTATTTAAATTATAGGGTGAGCTAAGCAGGGAGAAATTGGCTCATTTCAATCAGTCATCCTCAGTAATAAATCTTTTCCAATTAACATGTGTTCAAATTGACCTCAAACGGTATATCTTAGCCCCACTAAGAGTTCACGATACCTAAAGTAGAATCATAGAAAGGCTTAGGTTGGAAAGCACCTTAAAGATCACCTAGTAATATCATGTCCCCAAGTTTCAGTTATTCTCTCCTAAAGTTTGAATGAAGAAATTTTCATCATAGCACCACTCGCTTTGTCTAATCTCTACCCAGAAGCAGAACCTACAGAGCTGTCACAGACCTCTCCATCAGACAGTTGGTAAAGGAAGAAGTAAATGTATTCCAGACAATTACAGTGAGAATGCATCTTCCTCAGGGTACAGAAGCTGTGGTGCAAGAATGGGGGCATGCAGATGGCTGTGGGGTCAATCACCGCAGACATGAAACAGGAAAGCATCAGTGGAAGGTGTGTACTTGTATTGCTGCAGATGAGAAATGAGAAATGAGCTGAAATCCAAGACGTGTTCTTCCTACAGTGGTAATCCTTCAATATGGCCCTATCAAAGCAAGTTCCTCGATTCCATCCTCAAACACTCTTAAATTTCATTTTCTACTTCTTTGTGCAACCTTATAGGCTGAGTTAAAAGCCATAATCTGAAGTGACATCTATGCTGCTCAGAATTTTATCCACTTCACTTCTGGTTTTCACCCCCAAATAAAGCAGCTCTCATGAAGAATAAAGCTATCACCAAGACAAAAAAAAAAAAAAAAAGCGTCTGAACTGTAAGGACAGGATAAAAACCAATCACAGCTTTTTAGAACGGAGGCAAATAGGCGTACGAAAATAAAATCCTCCGGTGGGATTTGACCAATATTGCACACCCAAACCTTGTTATAATTTCCTTTGCTTTTTTTTTGTCTCCACTAATATATAGCATAATATAATATATATATATAGTATATAGACTCTTTTCCTACCCAGCTGTTTCCCAGTTTTCTTACTTTGTGATCTACATATATGGTAAGGTAGCTGTTCCAAAATTACTTTCTGCTACTTCCTAATCCACCTGGGAATATATTTTTAATCTGTGTCATTTTTACCACAGTGTTGAATGTTTCAACATTTTCAGTCCCCATACAACAGCAAGTCAACCTCCACAAATGTAACAGACATCAAAAATATAGAAAACATTATATACCATAGAATTATATAATGGTTCGGGTTGGAAGGGACACTTAAGATGAATTAGTTCCAAACCCCTGCCTTGAATGCCTGCAGGATGGGAGCATCCACAACCTTGCTGGGCAGCCTGCTCCTGTGTCTCAGCACTCTCACAGTAAAGAATTTCTTCCTAATATCTATTCTAAATCTACTCTCTTCCAGTTTAAAACCATTTCCTCTTGTCCTATTGCTACATGTCCTTGTAAAAAGTCCCTCCTCAGCTTTCCTGTAGTCCTGCTTGAGGTACTGTAAGGTCCCACAGAACCTTCTCTTCTCGAGACTGAAAAGCCCCAGCTCTCTCAGCCTGTCCTTGTAGGGGAGGTGCTCCAGTCCTTTGATCATCTCCATGCTCCTCCTCTGGACCTCACCAACAGCTCCAAGTCCTTCTTGTGCTGGGGGCTCCAGAACTGGATGCAGTACTCCATGCGGGGTCTCATGAGAACAGAGCAGAGGGGCAGAATCACCTCTCTTGACCTGCTGGTCATGCTTCTCTTGATGGAACCCAGCATACAATTGGCCTACTGGGCTGCAAGAGCACATTGCTGGCTCACGTTGAATCTTTCATCAACTGACATCCCCAAGTCCTTCTCCTCAAGGCTGCTCTCAAGCCATTCTCCACCCAACCTGTATTTGTGCTTGGGATTGTCCTGACCCAGGAGCAGGACCTTGCACTTGGCCTCGCTGAACTTCATGAGGTTGGCATGGGCCCACCTCTCAGTCCCGTCCAGGTCCATCTGGATGGCATCCCTTCCCTCTGGCGTGTCAACTGCACCACTCAACTTGGTGTTATCTGCAAACGTGCTGAGAGTGCACCTTTGATATGCCCTAAGGCACATGAGGAACATCCACCTCATCTTCACTTTCTAAAGAAAGTTCTCCCTACCCTCCCAAACACGGACTTAGATTTAGGGTCACAGACTGTGCAAACATTTAGCAGAGTACAAGATGAAAACCCAATGGATACTGCTGTTCATCACAAAACATCCTACATAGAAAAGGTAAAAACCATCAACAAACAATTTGGCTTGTAAGAGATTATCACAATTTAAAGTAATTTTCCTATTGCATCTCTCTTTTATTTCAGTATGTTAATCATAACATCAAAAGCACAATTCCTGGAGAAGAGAGTATAGGACTATGCCAGAGACCCCTAAGTTCAAAATGTGCTACTGCAACAGGCTGCTGTCTTTCAGCAAATGCATCCCACACCAGGAACACCAGGCACCCTACAGCCAGTGCACCTCCTCCGAACATACTGGATACTCTCCCAAAAATAGGCCACTCCAGAACAAGACACCTCGAATAACTGGCAGAGATGAGAGATACCCAGTTGTCAGTGGGAAGTGTGTTTTCATAGAATAACTGCTCTTTCTCTGACTTCTCAGCCTTTCAAAAACTGAACCTATGACATTAAATTCATAACTCAAGTAGGCAGTTGAAATTATGGACTCAGTGGAGAAGGTGGCTTGATGGCACATGACAATTTCTCTCTCATCTAAACACTTGCTATTTCCCAGATAGTTACTACTTTTCTTTCTATTACAAGAACTAACACCTTTTTCACCTCTCTCTTATCTAATATCCACCTTCAGCTATCAAATGCCATGGACTTTTTTCTTTTAAATTGTCTATTAACATAACAAATTTAAGATGAAAGCAGTTTATATACAGCTTAAAGTTTATGACAGCTATTTCAGATCTGAGGAAAACCTTGTGTGTCTGCAACATTGCTTTTTTTTTTCTTCCCAATTCTATTAGTTCAATCAATAGTATTACATTTCCCTGTAAATTACTGTCTTTTTTATATCCTCATATCACCCTGGCTATAAGAATATAAATATTTCACCTTACAAAACCATCAAATCAAAATAATTCCAAAATAATATTCGCGTGGGTTTTAAGAAACACCAGTGCATTTTCAAAACACAGAACCAAGCAGGTGCCTCTCGCAGAGGCAAAGCCAGAGCAAGCACCAACCCAGCCAGTTTTTTAGTGATATAACTGCAATATTTCCAAGATTTTCCCTTTTTTTTTGTTGTTTTTTTCCTTTAAAATGCATTTCTTGCTTCAGCCCGTGAGGCCTCTGACTTAATAGCATTTGAAGGCATTCAGGACACAATGTGAGAACTTGTCATTTCCTCCAGTTTTGAGCATAGAGAAGGGAAGGGAGGGAGGGAGGAGGGCTGCCCACAGAGGCTGGGGAGCATGGAGGACATACGCAACCTCTGACAGTTTTGGCACCAAGGAATAACGCTGGTTTCAAAGTGAGCCATGAAGCTGGGACAGTAAATAGATAAATAGCTGATTTTTTTCTCTCTCTGGGTTGAATCAGATAGATGTTCTAGATTGAAAGACAGATTCTTACTGCATCATTTTTCTTGCTACATCTGTATCACCTTTCACACTGTGTGAAAACAGAGAATGCAGAATGATTTTGCAAAATGATGTTGGCAGAGGCATTTCAGCCTGTGAGGCCTGTAATTAACTGCTGCCCATTTTGTCAAAGATAGTGTTATTTTCTCTCTTAGCTTTGACAATTATTTTCCACACTGTAACACAATTCTTTCTATTTACTGCCTTTGCAACAGTGCTGAGAAAGCTGCATTTAGTTTTCTGTTGTTATTACAATTCAAGAGAATATCACAGCTTAACCATAACAAATTCCTAGCTCTGACCCTTCAATACTTAAAGTGCAAATTCATAGAAACATAGGATTACAGAATGGTTTGGGTAGGAAGGGACCTTAAGGCCCATCCAGTTCCAACTCCCTACTTTGGGCCAGCTGTTACCCACCAGCTCGAGCTGCCCAGGGCCCATCCACCCTGTCCTTGAGGACCTCCAGGGATGGGGCACCCACAGCTTGGCCGGGCAGCTTGTGCCAGTGTCTCATTGCCCTTTGAGTAAAGACTTTCACCCTAGCATCTAACCTAACTCTTCCTTCTTTTGGTTCAAGTTCAGTCTCAGTCTGAGGCTCTGAAAACTTCCTGCAGACTCACCATTCAGGACTAGCTGTGCTATGCGTGCACGGCTCTTGCATGCCACAACACTGTTCCAGAACCACCTGACGTAGCCACTCTCACATGTTTTATATGTGAGACTTCAAAGGGCTGTTAGTTATATTACCCCTACTCTTGCAGCTACCCTTTCAATTTTTTGCAGTTTTGCTAAAAGCAAAATTGCAGATTGCAAAATTGCAGACTGTATTTCAGTCACTTATGCTCACCTGCAGCAGCTGCAGGCAACACATTTTGAAGCGTAGGAAGCAAAAGATCAATTCAAGACACAAATAACACCAACACTGACAGGCATAGTACATCAGTTATCAAAGCAGCACAGAGCCAGTCCCACCAGACCAATCTGCTTAAAGATTTTAAAGCATTTACTTAGTTATCAATTCCAAATGAATCACTCCTTTCAACAGAGCGTACATGCACTAATGAGTCCGTAGCCATGAACCAGAGAGGGAATAATTGCCCAGCTCCTCAGATTAGCATTGATTCAACAATTCACTTATTTTCAATCAAACATAATATTTACAAAGTGCAGAAGAAATACATATGCTAGGTTAAATAAAATGATCTGAAATTTAAACAAGCTCAGTGCACCAGAAAACAGCATTTCCCTTTTTCAGACTTTTGAAAACTTACAGTGAAATGTAATGAGGGACCCCTTACACCACTGTGCTTCTAAAAAATGTCACCTGCTTAATTAAACCAGAACACCACAATCATTTTGGACTCTATTTTACTAAGGCTACCAGAAAATAAACACTAGTTACATTACAAATAAATCGTATCAGTGATGTCCATGTCTTTCAGCTCAGAAAAGCTACTGAAGATGCCTCTCCTGTAATTGTCTTTCCTGAAATAATCTTTCAGCTGGTGGCTCATGATATGATTCACTGGAAGAATGTCAGTGGCAATTTCACAAACACGTGATGACAGAGCAGAAGGTAAGTTGGGAAGATTACACTGTCACAACACTGTCATGCAGAAGTTAATAAAGCGCTGCTGCCATTTCATTTAATATCAATAACAGTCTGTGGGTATTACCAGAGATTTGCAGCCATTTACTGTTCAGTAAGCATCATACAACCACCCTGATTTTCACGGGCTTCAGTCTTTGCTTTAGCCCAGAACAGAAACTGGGGATTACATGCCATTCTTACAGCTTTTTGAAACAGAAGTCCCTGTTTTGGGGCTGATACGCAGAATTTGCTTTAAATTTGGTCAAAGTGAGAAGTAGTCAGGGACATGAGAAATACACATCAGCACAAACCATGCATTCATGCATTTCCTGAGGACTCAGAGAGTCTGGCTGCAAGTCAGAGAATGCAAGCAAAGCAGGAACAGGCAGGCAAGCAGGACAGCTGTGCAGGGGAGTCATGGAAATATCCATCACTGCAGGATATGCCCAACCAGAATAAAAGAGACAAGTGGTAGCAATGAGCCATAAACATGCTTGATCTTCACAACAATTGCTGAAAGCCGTAATAAATATAAAATCAATATAATATGATATATAAAGTAAGACTAGGGAAAACATAAGCCTGCTGCTGAATGAGGCACCTGGTAATGAAGGACACTGAGAAGGTACAGTTGCTGAATGCCTTCTTTGCTTCAGTCTTTAAAAGGTAAAAGGTAGTCTGGAGGTGAAAGAGAGTCTGGAGAAAGAAAGACTTCACCCTGGTCAAGGAGGATCTGGCCAGAGATCATCTAAGCAAACCAGATGCACACAAATTCATGGGCCCTGATGGAATGCACACATAAATGCCAAGGCAGATGGCAGAAGTGATTGTCAGCCCACTCTCTATCATCCTTGTAGGGTAGTAGAGAACAGGAGAGGTGCCTGAGGACTGGAGGAAAGCCAGTGTCACTCCAGTCTTCAAAAAGGGCAAGATGGAGGAGCTGGGAAACTACAGGCCAATCAGCCTCACCTTCTCTAGGAAGGTGATGGGGCAGCTTATTCTGGAAGTCATCTCCAAGCAAGTGGAAGAGAAGAGGGTTATTAGGAGTAGTCAACATGGGGAGATTGTGCTTGACTAACCTTCTGTTCAGCCTGTAGAAGAGAAAATTGAGCGGGAATCTTATCACAACAAATCTCTAAAGGGCAGTCAAGTAGATGGGGCCAGGCTCTTATCAGTGGTGCCCAGCAACAGGACAAGGGACAATAACTGGAATGCAGGAAATTCCATACAAACACAAGGAAGAACTTTTTTACTGTGAGGGTGACAGAGCACTGGAACTCTGCCCAGAGAGGTGGGGGATTCCCCTTCTCTGGAGATACTCAAAACTCACCTGCACACTTTCCTATGTAATCTACTCTAAGGAATGTGCTTTAGTGGAGGGCTGGACCGGGTGATTCCAGAGATCCCTTCCAACCCTTAAGATCCTGTGATTAAGTAAATTTCAGACTAAATTCTCTA